GGGTGGCCTACACTCCATGTGAGGAGAAGGTTTTTCATCAGGCAGATGGGCCCATCTTCTGTGCTACAATCACCGGATTAGAAAGTGGGTTTTATGTAGGACTCCCCCATGCTTTTTGTCTCCTTTTGTGCTCCAGCACTAGGCTAGAGATTCATGGCTATCTCCCACTCCTCTATGAATTCAAGTCCTCAGAAACCGGGGGGTGCAGTCCTGAATGTGCAGTGAAATATGACAAAACCATGCACGCCCCTATTGCTCTTTAATTATTTAGAGAAGCTTTTAATGTGCTGTTAGGCTGCAATCACTACTTTACCCCTGAGCATCTCTATAGAATCAGTAGGCTTGGGGGGAGGTGATTAATTTTTTATGAATTTGGATGGATAACCAAATGCATTACCAAGAGATTTTTTTCTTGCAACAGGAGGAAATTGTACACAGAAAAAAATTACACTAATTTGTTCAAATCTAATAACTGTAGAAAACCCAGAAGGAAAATCAAGGGATGGTTTTTCACATTAGATTGCCAGATTGAACGGCCTGCATAAAAGAGAGGTCTGCAGTTTTCCACAAGGGATACTTTTCTATCATTGTCAGGATATGTCTACACTGCAGAGTTTTTGTGCAAAACCAGTTGTTTTTGCGCAAAAACTCGCGGAGCGTCTACACCTCAAGCGTGTTTTTGAGCAAGAAAATTTACAGAACCTGAGGGGTTTCTGCGGTATAGATATTCCTCTTTCTACAAGGAATAACTCCTTTTTGCACAAGAACTCTTGCGCAAAAAGATGTGTGTGGATGGGAAACAGGGTTTTTTTGCGCAAAAAGAGCTTATTGAAAGAAGCATGATGTGTGTCCATGCAGTATGGACGCTCTCTTGTGCAAAAGCGCATCACTTTTCCGATGTGCTTTTGCAGTGTGGACATGCTCATGTGCAAGAAGTTTTTGTGGAAGATCTCTTCTGCAAAAAGCTTCTTGCGCAAGAAGCTTGCGGTGTTGACATAGCCTCTGTGTCTAGTGTTAAGGGTGACATTCTCCCCAACTCTACTCCTTTTATCAGAGTGTTGGAAGAGACCTCAGGAGGTCACCGATTCCAACTCCCTACTAGAAGTAGGAGCAATCTCAACTAAATCATCCCAGCCAGGACTTTGCCAAGCCGGGACTTAAAAATCTCTAAGGATGGAGATTCCACCACCTCCCTAAGGAACCCATCCCAGTGCTTCCTCCCCTCCCTAGTGAAATAGTTTTTCCTAATATCCAACCTAGGCCTCCCTCACTGCAACTTGAGACCATTGCTCCTCGTTCTGCCATCTGTCACTACTGCAAACAGCTTCTCTCCATTCTCTTTAGAACCCCCCTTCGGGTAGTTGAAGGCTGCTATCAAATCCCCACCTCACTCTTCTGTTCTGTAGACTAAATAAGCCCAAATCCCTCAGCTTCTCCTCATAAATCCTTCACTCCAGCCTCCTAATCATTTTTGTTGCCCTCCACTGGACTTTCTCCAGTGTGTCCATCCTTCTTGTGATGGGGGGCCCGGAATTGGATGCAGTACTCCAAATGTGGCCTCACTAGTGCCAAATAAAGGGGAATAATCACTTCCCTAGGGCTGCTGGCAATGCCCCATCTAATGCACCCCAATATGCCATTAGCCTTCTTGACTACAAGGGCTCACTGTTGACTCATATCCAGCTTTTCTAATCCCCAGTCCCTTTTCTGCAGATCTACTGCTTAGCCAGTTAGTCCCCAGCCTGTAGCAATGCTTGGGATTCTTCTGTCCCAAGTGCAGGATTCTTTTCCTCGTTGAACCCCTTTATAGAAGGGGGGCAAAGGAGAAACCAACAAAAATCAGCATTTAGCCATTTAAAATACAATCCTTTCGAGCTTGGAAAAAGCTTCCAGTTTTAATCTGTACGGTATTATGTGAAGGAACAAAAACCATTTGGGTTTTTGGTTGCAATCTCCTACAACAGTGCTGCAGGGATGCAGCTCTGTGTGAACTATCAAATGTTTTGTTTCTTCCATATGTAAATGAGACCCCTTTGGGTTTTTACACGGGAATCCCATCCTTGTGCCTGTGCCCCTCTCTAGATCTGGCATGGTCATGAAATGTAAATCTGAAAGGATGAAGCGTTTGGCTTGATTTCATTAACGTCATCTGATTTCCCATACACAGTTGCAACAGACTTGGAAAAGGGGGTGTTGGTCATTCCCCCGTCCACCCCTGCAGTCCCCCCAAAAGGACCATTTTTGAGTGAAAAAGATCTTGAGATTAGTAGCAGTTTCACTGTAACAGAGCATCCAAGGAGCCAAGAAAATCTAAGTTGGTGAGCAGAGAGATGAGTCTATATAAGAAGGTCAAACAAAATTGTACTAGAAACCTACACTTCTTAGGATGATAAAGAGCCTTCTAGGTCAAATACAATTAATATCAGATGACACCAACAATCTAATCCTTGCAAGCATAAATCTACTAATCATACCCTGGGGCACAATGTGGAGTGAAATTTTAAACTGCTACAAGGGCGGTGATTTCTAATTCTAGTCTCATGTATCCCTGCTACTTATGTTAGACCAGAGATGGGTAATAACCTGGCAGTGGTTCACCAGGGTTAGCCGCCGGCAGGTTGCCACCTCTATATGTACCTGCATGGCGGCAGGCACCAGTGATCGCATCTCCCATTGGCCACATATCCTGACCAATGGGAGCGGTCGGGAGAGGCGGGGACCAGGACACCACTTCCCACAGCTCTCATTGGTCAGGATTAGTGATCCACGGCTAACGGGAGCTGTGGTCATCGGTACCTGTGGCTGTGCAGGTAAATATCACGGTGGGGGCACAGTGGGAGCTTCCCCTAGTGGACCGGATCCATCCCATGAGCTGGTATTTGCCCACCCCTGTGTTTGACTGAGGGACAAGTGGTCCCATTACAGACCAGTGTATCTCACACTGCTATGGGAAGAAACAAATATTGTTTGCCATTGAAAAGCTAGGAATGGCGTCTATCTGATCTTACCAAGCACATCATTTCAGTTACTAACATTTCTCCTCGTTTTCAGTTCAAACATCATCTTCGTGGCCCCTTGAATACAAACTAACCTTTCTGTTCCTTTACAGTGAGAGCTTAGGACTCACTAGCCAAAGGGCAAGGCATTCCGTCTAACTTCAGCAGTTTGAGAAATATGAACGGGTACAGTCATGATGAAACTGCCAGGATGCAATAAGAAGAAAGATGTGATTTTAAGATTCAACGGGATCCGCCAAAGCTAGAAACACTGGTCCTGGCCCAGAGAGGAATTTTAGATCTCCATGAACTCTTTTAAGCTAGGGTTGAAATGAGATGTTTCTTGTTCCTTTGGTTGTATGAAACCATATGGGAAAAGTGTATGTTTTATATTCATTACTTCAAAGCTCAGAGCAGACCAATCTGGTACCCTTTGTTTTAGGAAGGGACAATACAGTAAAAGAAAGACAGGTCTGTAAGTTAGGGAAGTTTGCAAAATAATATTGATTAAACAAACACTGCTGTAACAAAATGGGGGAAGGGCATCTGTGGGAGTAGAAAAGCAGAACCTAAAATGCACCATTTTGTGATGGAAAACAGGCACTGTTTACAGTCATCACACAGGCAAATCTCCCGTAGAAATCCCATTTCCTTACAAGGAAAACCAAATGCCCCTACCCAATCCTCAGAACTGTGTCCAGGAATATAAAGCATGGCTTCTTACAGATCCATTTCATGCATGCAAAAATGGGTGTTGGCATCTCAGATCAATAGCTTTTCATTGGCACAGGGTATTTGGGATGCATTTGCTGGTAGACACCCATGTACTGCTTATCAGAATCATTCTGACTGCTTCTGCAAAAATCTCAAATGCTATGCTCTGAAAAAGTCATTTCTCCGAAAGCTGCATGCCACGGATCCTGTTATATTTACACAGGGGAAAACCCCTCATTATTCTCCTCCCTCCCCTGCAAAAAAGGTTTCAGAAGCTATGCTTTAGTGTTTGCGGGGTTGACACATGTTGGGTAGTTGGGGATTTAGGTTTCCTAGAAAGCAGACAGAGCCCCCCCACCCTCCCGTTCAAAAGAACATAGTTTCTCTGTATCTCAGTGCTGTGATGGAAATATACAGCAGAGGGCAAAGCCAGCAAATAGCCTCACATGCAGACATGCATAGCTGCTGCAAAAACCCTTAACCCTTTCAATGGAAGCATGGGAAAGAGAGAGCTCTCTAACTGCTGGCCATAGGAGAGAGTGTGTCATGTACATTGTGGTGTTCGCATGTAGAATTGTCTGTGCAAAACACACACGAGCAACTCACATGTGTGTTTCTAGATGAGACAGCTGCCCTAGAGCTGTACAAGGATTTTCAGTGTGTGGTGCCATTATTTGTGTAAAATGCTGCATTGTCAAAGGAGACTACCCCTCTGTGCTGGTGGGTGGGTGTTTGTACATGGTATCTCTTAGCATCGCCATAGCATTCTGAGGGTGTACGTTAATTAAGCTGCACGTTACACCCTCGGGCAGTATGAATGCCACGCATTGTCCCCACTGGACAGAGTAGAGGACAGTGATGCATAAAGGGAAAGCAGCTTGTGCAGAGTTGGGCTACAACCTGCCTTGCCCTGCGTCCATGCCCTAATGACAAGGCCGCACACTGCTTTCCCTGAGTTGGGTGCTTCTGCAGCAAAAGCAGGAGGAAGTAGGTTTCATTTTATTTTTCTGATGCTAGCTCCTGCAGACCATTACCAGGGGCTGAGTACTGTGCAGAGATGTACTGATGCTAACAACTTTAATGGTAGTACCACGGTATTTTCTTCTCCCTGCCTGTGGTGCTTTGCTCCGCACAGCAGTGTCCCTTATAGCCATTTTATCCCCCAATAGCTTAGTTTGCTCATTGAATGGGTTAATGTGGTACATGCGTAAGTGCCAGCACACCCTAGAGACAGCCCTTGATGGCGCATTGCCCCATGCCTGTTACCTCCGCCTCCAGCTGGTACGATACCTGGGGTTGGAGTGGCTTCGGAGTTCAGCGGCCAGATATAGGGAGGAGAATACGAGGACAGCATAGAAGAGAGGAGAAGAGAAAACAAAGGAACACATAAAACCACAGCACACTTGTGAGACTAGGGGATCAGTCATTCACACTGTCACCAAAGGCTTTGAGAGAGAGAGAGAAAATTCATTAGCCGCACACACCCCAACAGTTGTCTGTTATTGATAGCTATTTGCATAGGCCAAAGAGAAGGAAGATTCCCGAGAACTGTCAAATGAAACATCACTCCCAGGCGTCATCTACAGTACGAGTTTTCTCAGCCACAAATATGCTAATGAGGGACTCATTTGCATGAGCTGCGATCTCATTTGCATATTTTTTGCCGATCTGTTTTTGCGCTAGGGGTTTTTGCGTAAAAACAAGCAGTGTGGACATTTTCTTTTTGCGCAAAACCCCCTTTTCCTGCAAGATCGGTATACCTCCTTTTTTGGGGCATAAGGATCTTGCGGAAAAAGGGGATTTTGCGCAAAAAGAAAACGTCCACACTGCTTGTTTTTGCACATAAGCCCCCAGTGCAAAAACGGATTGGCAGAAAATATGCAAATGAGATAGAGACTCATGCAAATGAGACCCTCATTAGCATATTTTTTCAGCGAAAACTCGTAGAGTAGACATAGCCCCAGTGAAACACACCCCACCTCCTGAGCGAACGGATACTAATGATCAGGCTCTGCCCTGATGCGTGCCTTTGATTAAGGAAAGCATTTAAGCGGGTGCTTACATTTCATTCAACTAAGGACAAAATCTCACCTTGCATGGTTAGCTTTCTGTAAAGTCCAACCTCAGGCTCATATTACTTATGTAAGGTGAATCTGACCCAAGCTGCTGTAATCTGAACCTTCTCCCATTGAGTTCCAAGTTCTTTTTAGGGGGTTGATAGCAAATATGTAAAAATTCAAACCGTAGTCATTTAAAGCTGATAAACAACACTGTGCATATGTTCACGAATCGAATCCTGCCTAACTTAGCCGTGTGTTGAGACCTACCAGCTCTCATGTTCAAGAGCCAAATCCTGCTCACTTTTCTCATGCGGCTTAGAATACCAGATCTCATCCTTGCTGTTTGTTTTCACTAAAAGATTCACTCTTAGTGAGTGTCATTGGCCAGGAAAGGGAAACTTGCTTTGAACACAAGCTCTGTTCAGGCTGACATTCACAGGGCCTGTATTTACAGGGATTTCTGAGACAATTATTTCTCATTCCAAGTACGAGGAAGGAAATACAAGGAATCTCCACTAGCACTGTGAGATAGCTGTGGGCAAATGCTGTAGATCTGTTAGGAAAGTGTGACCAGAGGTGAGTGTGACTGGCAAGAGCTGCCTAAGCTGCAGCAAAAGCCAGCAGGGAGCTATTTAAAGAACTGATAGGGACGCAGGATGCAATAGGATACTACCTATAAGAAATGTTAAGTTACTTTCACCACTGAAACAAAAGACAGGACTATGCAGCACTTTAAAGACTAACAAGATGGTTTATTGGGTGATGAGCTTTTGTGGGCCAGACCCACTTCCTCAGATCAAATTGTGGAAGAAAATTGGCATGACTATATAGACCAAAGGGATATAATCAAAAAAAGCAATCACATAAAATTGACATATCCCTTTGTTATATTTGGTCATGCCAATTTTCTTCCACAAATTGATCTGAGGAAGTGGGTCTGGCCCACGAAAGCTCATCACCTAATAAACCATCTTGTTAGTCTTTAAGTGCTGCATAGTCCTGTCTTTTGTTTCAGCAAGACCAGACTAACACGGCTACATTTCTATTACTATTTCACTACTGAGTATGACTATCTATAACCCAGCAAAGTGAATAACAAGCATATGTAGAACAAACAAATCTACAGGATAGTATCCATATCCAGTACCTGTCTTCTTAGCAGTGCATTCACTGAAGCGCCTGCTTCAGAAATACATGGTGTCTGGCAGGGACCACCACTGAAATTCAATCTTTGCTAATATTACAATGCTGTGTAACAGTTCTGGAGCTGGTCTGCTTAAAGGCCCGTAGGAAGTATTTCATTTTTACTGTATTTTCAATCGGTTACTTTTCCCACCCACCACAATTAAGGAGGAGAAAGGCAAGCAAACACCCATTAAATAAAATCGGAAGTCTAACTGAATTGTATGTCTGTTAGCAAATGCTATAGAATAGAAAGCGCCGGCTTTGTCTGTCTTCCATCCCTAAGGGCTCCTGAACTTTCACTCGGTTGGATGGATGTCTCACAAAGAGCATTTTATCCTATTATGAATCCGTGAGTTGTAGCTTTTTCCTTCTGCGGGTCGTCTATTGATTAGAGGGGTGATGGGAAAGTGGCAGGGGGGCCCCCCCCCCCCCCCCCAGCCTGTCTCTGTGGTGGCTCTTGGGGTTCTGCTGACTGGTGGATGCATTTGTTTTATAACTCCCCTTGTGACAATAAAAACAGTTTAAGATTGCCAGGAAATATGCAGGCTCTGTTGCGTGATGCTTAACACAGGGGAGCTGCAAAGGTTGGTGCTGGGATGTGAACATTCCAAAGACTTAAAAACACAATTAGGCTACATCTAGACTGGCAAGATTTAGCACAAATACTCTAAACGCAAGAGTTTTTGCGTTAGAGTATTTGAGTAAGAGAGCGTCTACACTGGCATGTGCCTTTGCGCAAAAGATTTGCTTTTGCGCAAAAGCATCCGTGCCAGTGTAGACGCTCTCTTGCGCAAGAAAGCTCTGATGGTCATTTTAGCCATCGGGATTTCTTGCGCAAGAAATTGATGTTACCTGTCTACACTGGCCTCTTGCGCAAGAACACTTGCGCAAGAGGACTTATCCCTGAGCGGGAGCATCAGAATATTTGAGCAAGAAGCAGAGTATACAGTAGAATGTCAGTATTCTTGCACAAATACTCATGGCCAGTGTAGACAGGCGGCAAGATTTTGTGCAAAAGTGGCCACTTTTGCGCTAAATCTTGCCAATGTAGACACAGCCTTAGGGTTTTGTATTTACAAAGTGCTTTATCCGGATAAGATTGGGGCCTAACCTAATTTGGCTCACCACAATAAATGAAATCCCTGTTGGATGAGAGACATTGATAAGTGGTTGTCAAGCAGCAATTCTGGTGGAAAAAATGTATGCAGTACATCTCGATGTAAGTGTGTGCGCTCTGGCATGTAATAGGTAGCAGGTAACTAACGAAAGGAAGTATTTCTTTACACAATGCACAGTCAACCTGTGGAACTCCTTGCCAGAGGATGTGGTGAAGGACAGGACTTTAATAGGGTTCAAAAAAGAACTAGATAAATTCATGGAGGTTAGGTCCATCAATGGCTATTAGCCAGACGGGCAGGGATGATGTCCCTAGCCTCTATTTGTTAGAAGCTGGGAATGGGTGACAGGGGTGTATCACTTGATGGTCACTTGTTCTGTTCATTCCCTCTGGGGTATCTGGCGTTTGTCACTGTTGGCAGACAGGCTACTGGGCTAGATGGACCTTTGGTCTGACCCAGTATGGCCGCTCTTATGTTCTTAATCACCAGAAATTTTTCCTCAGCGGTACCCATTGGGTCTGGCAACCTCTGGTGCAGTACACTCAGGATGCTGGTATAAAGGGCCCAGTTGACCCCATACCCTCTCAGTCCCTTCTTTCTGGCGGACTCTGACAAAAGGGTCGGAGGGAGGGGTCTTGGAAAGGACAGGTGCAGCACATCTTGATGAACAACAGTTACAGAAAAGTTAGTAATTTTTGCTTCTTCAGGTGATTTCATGTGTCCATTCCAGTGCAAGTGACTCCCAAGAAGTTTAAAAACCAACAAATTGTCTGGTAGCACTTTAAAGACTAACAAAACATGGAGATGGGATCATGAGCTTTCGTGGGCACAGCCCACTTCTTCAGATGCCCAAAGTGTTGGATGTCCAGAACTAAAATAAATAGGAGAGGAGGGGAGAGAAGGAAAAGAGTGTGTGTGTGGGGGGAAACATGAAGAGCTGTATACATGTAGTAGTTGTATACATGGTGGGCTTGGAGTCCACAGACAGGCTGACTGCAACTGGCATCATGTTTGGCTGTTGAGCGATGGTGTCATGAGTAGAAAAGGCATGTACTGACAACCAAGTCGCTGCTCTGCAGGCATCCAGGACAGGGAATGGGACCAGGAACACCATTGATGCTTGTACCTGGTGCTATGGCCAGTCAGGATAGCAGGTGGTGGTACACCTGCCTGCTCGTCACATGTGCCAATGCATGACATGATCCAGGATGAGGTCCTCTGAGTCAAGATGGGGAGGCCTTTCATCCCATCAGCAACCACTGTGAAGAGCTGGGTGGATCTATGGACGGTCTGGTCGTCTCTGTGTAGAGTACTAGGGCACACCTGAGGTCCAGAGGGTGGAAACTGTATTCCTCCCTGTTTGTGTGTGGCTTTAGTAGAAAACTGCCAGGAAGACTGGCTGATTAGTGCAAAACCACCTCTGGGAAGAAGGCAGGATGCAGCTGCACGTATCCTTAAAGAAGATCGCATATATGAGGCTTCTGACCTAAGGGTACAGATGTCCAAGACCATTCTGACTGAAATACTAGTTACTGGAAAGGCCACCTTCCGGGGATGATAGGACAGGTGGCACAGTTTGCGTGGTTCATACTGGAGGCAGGCTTAGGTCCCTCGGAGGAATGAGCACTTGTTTTTGTGGGCATAATCTCTCTAGGCCCTTGAGAAAACAAATGGAGATCTCACATGAGAAAGTAGGATGGTTATCCAATGGGGAGGGGAAGAATCCTGAAACAGCTGTGAGGTGTGCCTTAATCGATGAAATCACTAATCCCTATTTTTCCGGGTGTACCAAATACTCAAGAATGGCCTGTAGCGATCACTGCATGGCTGAGAGGCTATGTTGAGATGTCCAAATGGAGAACCACTTCCATTTGGAGAGGTTATGTAGCCCTGGGAAGGGACTTCCTGTGGCTTCAGAGGACATGGCAGATCTGCTCCAAGCAGGCTGACTCTGTGGCAATTAGCCATGTAGCTTCCATGATGGAAGGCACTGTCGTTCAGGTGGAGCAATCAACTGTGGTCTTGGAAGATCAGGTCTGGGAGTAGGAGCAGCAGCACTGGAATCACTAAAGAAAGGCCTAGCGGTGTGGCGAACCAGTGCTGTTGGGGTCTGGCTGAGGTTATGAGAGTGGGCCATGTGATTTAGGTTTAAAACAAACAGAAGGAAGTTTTTCTTCACTCAGCGCATATTCAATCTGTGGAACTCCTTGCCAGAGGATGTGGTGAAGACTAGGACTTTAACAGGGTTCAAAAAAGAGCTAGATAAATTCATGGAGGTTAGGTCCATCAATGGCTATTATCCAGGATGGGTAGGAATGGTGTCCCCAGCCTCTGTTTCTCCGGAGGTGGGTGACAGGGGAGGGTTCACGTGAGGATTCCCTGTTGTGATCCCTCCCTCTGGGGCATCTGGTATTGGCCACTGTTGGCAGACAGGATACTGGGCTGGATGGACCATTGGTCTGACCCAGTATGACCGTTCTTATGATTGTTAGCAGAATATTATGCTAGAAGGCAGGTCACTGAAAGACAGAGTCTTGTAACAGCAAACATAGGGTCTGAATCCCAGTGGAAAAAGCGTGCAATAGCACGGGAGGAGGGGAGGACAGATGAGAGCTCTGCTGGGTTACAGAGAAGCACCAACAAAATGAAGTAAGCTAGTAACTATTTACACTCCTGCATACAGCATGAAGAAAGCTGGAGAAAAAAATGAAGACAGCTGAGGAAAGCTTACTGCAGCAAAGAGAGCTGTTCTTGTGACTGTTACGGGTCATCAGAAGGAACGGAAAGGGCCAAGAGTCGGTCTGGCCCTTTCGACCTTCAGTAGGGGGTGCCCAAGTTGACAAGTCCCCACTGAGGGAGCAATTCCCACTTTGTGCTTGGGAAGGGGAGAGCACACACACCTATGTTCAAATGGACATGTGCAATCATTCAAAGAACTGCACCTTGTCTTTATAGGTTGGCGATAGCTCAGTCTGAGAGTGTCAACCCACTGTGTTTCTCTGTCCATGGAATCCTACCCTGAGTTATAGATGAGTGAGCTATTCTATTTAGGGTCTGGGCACCCTACAAGTAAGAGAGAGTTGCCCATGTTCTTAGCTACTGGCACAGTCTCAGAAATGCACTTTGACACTGCAAGGAAGATACAAAGCTGTTTCCGAGGAATTCCGAGCCCCGGCCAAACACTGTTACGTTGCTCCCTCTGGTGGCTATCTGACGTATCTGTGCTCTTCCAGGAAAGCGAGAGCGCACAGTAGAAGCATCTCTGCAGATTGGTGGCACACTACTTTTGGGGGATGGATTAACTGCACCCCAAATTTAAACCCTGTCAGCTTGGATTCTAACCACTAGGCAGCAGTACTGTCTCCTTCTGATTGTCGTCCTAGTTACACCGATAAACTAGACCGCCTGCCACTGGCTGGCTTGATGTTTTCATCTTTGCTGGTCTCTCCTAGGACAAAAATGCCAGAATACTGTGTGGTGTTGCTTTTATAAATATCATAGAATCCTAGAGCTGGAAGAGACCTCAGGAGGTCATCAAGTCCAGCCCCCTGGCCAAGGCAGGACCAATCCTAACTAAGTCAACCCAGCCAGGGCTTTGTCAAGCTGAGACTTAAAAACCTCTAGGGATGGAGATTCCAGCACCTCCCGAGGTAACCCATTCCAGTGCTTCACCACCCTCCTAGGGAAATAGTTTTTCCTAATATCCAACCTAGACCTCCCTCCCTTGGTATAGACTCCACCCCTACTGACTAAACACATAGTGATCCCCAAAACACATCCATTAACTTGGGTCTTTTCCTCACTCCCTTCATTTCTCTTGCCAGATGGTATGCAAAGCCCTGACCTCTCCTTCCTGCCTGCTAGTTAGTAGCTGTGGACCAACGTTCCCAGTCTCCCCTAACAACTCATCAGGTTGGGCAGTGAAATCCAGCAGAGATGCTGTTGCTTGTTAAACTGTAGAGATGCCCTAGTATCCTGCCCCCTTGAAATGGGTAGATCGCCGGCTATGTTTTTATCTCCCACTGATGAATCCCAGCCTGATGGCTGTGGCCCTTTGTCTTCCAAGCCTAACATCAACACAACTGTATTCTTCACAGAGATTTTTCAGTGTACTGGAATCCGCACCGATCGTGTCTGTGGTGAACTCTTTGTGGAGCTACAGTAAGAGGGTCTTTGAAATGTAGGGCTGGAAGCGACCTCAAGAGGTGGTGTAGTCTGGCCTCCCACCCTGAGGCAGGGCCAAGCAGAACATCCCCGATGGGTATTTTGTCTCACCTGATCTTTAAAATTCCAGTGCCAAGGATTCCAAAACTTCCCTAGGTAACCTTTTCCAGTGTTTAATTATCCTTGTAGTTACAAAGTTTTCTTAATATCTAATCTAAATCATCTTTATGATGGCAAAGGTCTACTAGAGAGTCTGACTCTGAAAATCCTCATAGAGGATATATCTAACTAGTACTATACAGCATGTGAAGAGGCTGGCAGAACCAGGAAGGGGACACATATGGAAACTAACTCCTGTGCACACAGCAAGCATTTCTCTCCAGTTATAAAAGAGAGAAACCCTCATGCTTCAGGGCTTAACATAACCGCTAACTACCTGGGGCCAGGAAGAAACTTCCCATAAGGGTAGACTATTATTTAATAACTGTCCTCTCTGAGGGGTCTTGTACTTTCCTCTCAAGCATCAGGTGCTGGCCATTATTTGAGGCAAGATCCTGGGCTAGATAGACCATTATTCTGAGGCACTCTGGCAGTTCCTACCTTTCTAAATTTGAAAATTACAGGTACTCATATGGCCCTCATTAATATTGTAGCTGAGCAATTCACAATCACAAATGGATTTTATCTGCACCACATCCCTTACAGAGGGGTAACTGAGGCACAGAATAGATTGTCAACTGTACGAAGAACTAATGGGTAGGAACTTCCTTGCCTAGGGACCACTGACTCTACTTCTGTCACAGTGAGAGAGTTACCCTTGTTCCCCCAGTAAAACCACCTAGTCTATGGGATTTTTTCAGTGTAATCCTGTAGTTTCAAAACACGGGCATAATGCTCCTTGTGTCTTAACTCCACCGGGAGCACGCACCCCTCCTCCAAAGCCACAGCAACGCTGTCCTCCACCTACCTTCATTTAGTGGGGCCGGCGACTCTTCCATGATGGATTCTCCATCTCCCACCTGTGTCCTAGCACGCAGGAAGAATCTATAGCGCGAGATAGGGTCTGTCCTCTGGAGCGTAAACCTTGTTTGGTTGGGGGAGAAGTTCTCTACCAGCGTTCTGCCCGTTTTGGATCCATTAACTGGGGAGAGAGGCAAGCTGTGTAGGCTTCAGCTTTGTTTCAGACACACGCCCTGTTACACGTTTCCTCGCCTCACACTCTGGGACACCAGTTGAAATCAGCTGATGGTCCAATATGCTTCGGTATTGACTACGCTCAAGAGACAGCACAACCCATCTGAGAGAGCAAGCACGGCCCGCTGCCTGCTGAAGGGGATGTGCGTTGAGGAATGGTACAGCTGAACTGTACTGGGTTCCAGAGATGAGATCCACATCCACGCAGAGGACTGATATGAGTCCTGCTTTTGCTCTCCTAATACAATTTGCAATGGGCATGGCCCCTTCCTTTGGCCCTTTTCACAGCAGTGAATTCCACCCTGTTTGGGGCAGTTTCACTCTTCCTGCAATAGTTTTCTAAGGGAGGGAAGGGGTGGGAAGAGGGAACTATCGCCTCCTTCTTACTGTATTTCCCATTTATTAGTGCATTCTTGGGTTAAGCCTTATTTCCCCCTGCCCCCTATGGCCAAGTCCTGAGAGATGCTGAGCACCTGCGGCCCCGAGCGGCTTACACTGAAAAGTTGCAGGCGCTCAGCATTGCAGCAGGATTGGTCCCCATCCAAAACAGCAACTGTTTTACCTTGTCAGGGAAGTCTCTAATTAATGGGCCACTGTGGTGCCGTCACAGCTGGGAAAATACCTTGTAGCACCTGGGAGGAGATGCTCTTTCTGGGTTTGGCGCTGAATAACCTTCTCACCGAAGCGAACACTGGATGAGTTAGAAATCACTGACCAGCTGAGAAAAACAAACAGGTGTGGCACGTACAGGCTTGGTATCTAAGGTTGTATCCCGTGAGAATTCCATTAGGATGTTCAGGGTGGTCCCACTCCAAAGTGATGGTTTCCAGGTTAGGCTGTCGGATTCTGAAATACCTGGGGGCGCTGGGTACTTGGGAGAAGGATGGGACCAGGAGGGAGAAGGAAAGAAAAGACAACATCCCTTACAACAAGGTACACAGTGCAGGCGGGCTGACATCATAAAGATATACACACACAAAGGTCAGGTGCTGATGGGAACAAAAATGGCCCTAAAAACCATGCACCAGCAGAGCGGGTTGCATAAGCACAGTGAGATGGAGCTAACCTCAGAGCAATTGTGCATGTGAATCCAACACTGGAGGCAACAGAAGCAGGTCTATTCATTTAGTAACTGTGTGGCATGTACTGCAATCTGATCTCATGGGAACAATACCAGGGCAGTGTCCGTCTCACCGACATTACATTCAGAATGGTCAACCAGCCTGGCCCCCTGCTTGTCGCAGACCACAGCCCCTCAATTCCCCCTCCCCACCATGGAGCCACAACCTATTGCTGAATTACTGAGTATAAAGACTTCAAGCAACAGTGAATCCACCATTTACACTAGCTGAAACCTGAAAGGGGCTTAGGCCCCGTGCAGAGAATCCTTGACCCCAAATAAGATGATCAGTTAGGTCCTGAGAATGTGGACAAGACCTGCCAGCCAGGCACCTGCCCAAGAATTCTCTGTAGTTAGCTCTCAGTCCTCCCCGTCTAAGGGCCATCACTGGCTGTTGGAGGGATTTGTTCTTGGGGAGCTAGATTGCCTATATCATTACAGTTTGCAATAGGGGCATGTATACACTAGGAAGCTATTCTGAAATAACTAAAATTGATGTACTAACTCCCAAAATAACAAAATTGAAATAGCATGTCCACGCTACAGGGAAATTGCATATCCACACTCCCGCTATTTCAAAATTAGCATTATTCCCTGAGGAAAGCATGAGTACAGATTTTTAAATAAGCGGCTTGGTCATGTGGAGGCTCCGCTTATTAATTCAACCTAAAGGGGGTTATTTTGAAAAAAAGCCCTCGCGTAGACCAGGGCTAGGAGATTTCCTACGGCTCATGTGGCAGATGCTTGCATTTTTGGAGATGAAGTGTTAGCGTTTGTGGCCCAATTTCATCCTTTGTATGTGTAGTTTGTCTACTTAGATATATTTGTGGGTATCTCTGCACTGGCCCTAGAGGCACCCCTGAAGGCTGTTTGCTGTTATACAAAGAGACTGTGTCTACATTGCATGCTTCTTGTGCAAGAACAGCCATTCTTGCACAAAAACTTGCCGGCTGTCTACCCTGCACGCATGTTCTTGCACAAGTAAATTTACAGTTTAGCGTAGGAAAACAGGGCTTCTTCCAGAAGAGTTCAAGTATCAGAGGGGTAGCCGTGTTAGTCTGAATCTGCAAAAGCGACGAGGAGTCCTGTGGCACCTTATAGACTAACTGAAGTGTAGGAGCATAAGCTTTCGTGGGCAAAGACCCACTTCGTCAGATGCATGTAGTGGAAATTTCCAGAGGCAGGAATAAATATGCAGGCCAGGATCAGGCTGGAGATGACCAGGTGGATCCAATCAAGGAGGATGAGGCCCACTTCTAGCAGCTGATCTGGAGGTGTGAATTCCAAGAGAATAGAAGCTGCTTTTGTAGTTAGCAAGCCATTCACAGTCTTTGTTTAATCCAGAGTTGATTGTGTCAAACTTAAAGATGAACTGTAGCTCAGCAGTTTCTCTTTGAAGTCTGGTCCTGAAGTTTTTTTGCTGCAGGATAGCTACTTTTAGATCTGCAATTGTGTGTCCAGGAAGATTGAAGTGTTCCCCTACAGGTTTTTGTATGTTGCTTTTTTGCACAAGTCCTCTTCTGCAAAACAGTTCTTGCGCACGAAGCCTGCAGTGTAGATGTAGCCAGAGGCCGGTCAAGTCTCTCCCTTTGCAAAGAAAAACTGTAAGGGCTGTTCCGTGTATAACAATCAGTAATGTCCTGCGCCTGCTCCCTATATAATGTACTGAGATGCAGAACGGGCCTGGTTTACTCGTGTTATAATACAACGAAGCCACATGGAGCCAGGCGCTTGGCTGGTGTAATTCACCTTTTGGCAGGGATGCTCGGTGTGGAGGAGACAAAATTACCCTGGGATATTTTGCAGTTTTACCTAATCCTCTTCCAAGCCTGTCAAGCCCTTGCGGGGATGTGTGTGTGGCTCCCAGCAGTCAGCAGACACAGTGATGCTTGGCCACTGGGGACTAAAACCTGCCTGGTGTGGGTAGGCTTGGAGCTCCAGGAAGGGTTTTTCCACCTTTAGTGCATCTCCAGTGGCAGCAGGACTTACCCTGGGATATTTTGCAGTTTTACCTAATCCTCTTCCAAGCCTGTCAAGCCCTTGCGGGGATGTGTGTGTGGCTCCCAGCAGTCAGCAGACACAGTGATGCTTGGCCACTGGGGACTAAAACCTGCCTGGTGTGGGTAGGCTTGGAGCTCCAGGAAGGGTTTTTCCACCTTTAGTGCATCTCCAGTGGCAGCAGGACAGTACTGAAAATCAGGAGGGGCAGAAGCACCCTAAAGTATGCGTGGGGGAAGGGAAGGCACGAGCACCTGACCATGACTCTGCCCTCTGCACTGCCCCTTCCCGAGACCCCCCGTATTGCTCCAAGCCCCCACTCTTGTGTTTCTCCTTCTCCCTAAGCCCCTGCCCTTGCATTACTCCCTCCTCTGCTTGCTCGTCTCTGCCCTCTCCCCTCACTTGGCCTGACAGCCAGTAAAAAAGAGGGAGGGCGCCACTTTTCAAAGTGATGGGGCCCTAGTCCCCCTTGTTCCCGCACTATTGCCTAGCGTTTCTGAGAGCTAGGAAGTGTGCCCCACTCCCCAAGGAATGAGGCGTTAGGGTAAGATGGGTGCATAGGCAGCAGCATGCACCGCCCCCTTGCAGTTTTGCCCACCAAGGACCAAGACATCCAATGCGGGTGGCTCATGGGATGTACAGCTTGTTTGTGCGCACCCGGAGGGACAGGATTTTGCTCTTAAATCTTAGGGCTGGGTGTAGACCCGTCTGATTGGCAGGGGGCCCTGGGTTCTTTGAAATATGTGGTGAGAGTGATGTGGCTTGTCTTTCCAAGGCAATGACTCTAGCTGTATTTTCAGTCCATCTTATGAGGCATGCATGCGACCGCCTTCTAGTGATCACAGTAGCACATGATGCACCCGGAGGCACAGTTTGTAACCTGCCAGTCGTCCTTTGCTCAAAACAGAGCAGCTCAGTAGGGCAACTGAGTAGCTGTATAGACACATCTGTTGGGGTTGTGTTTGTGTGTCTGATATTTGATACTGAAACTGGACAAACTGCAGGGTAACTACACTGCTCCTTAGCACAGAACAGCTTTCCAGTGAGGCCAGACACGCTCCCTCTCTGCTTGTGCTCGGCATACCACACATATCATAGACTGTCTTGAAGAGCACACAGCTGAAATAGTCACTGCTGCTAAAGCAGTAACTTGCTATGCAGTGTGGGCCAAATCCTGCACTTGGTTCCCACTGGGTTCTTTGAAATATGTGGTGAGAGTGATGTGGCTTGTCTTTCCAAGGCAATGACTCTAGCTGTATTTTCAGTCCATCTTATGAGGCATGCATGCGACCGCCTTCTAGTGATCACAGTAGCACATGATGCACCCGGAGGCACAGTTTGTAACCTGCCAGTCGTCCTTTGCTCAAAACAGAGCAGCTCAGTAGGGCAACTGAGTAGCTGTATAGACACATCTGTTGGGGTTGTGTTTGTGTGTCTGATATTTGATACTGAAACTGGACAAACTGCAGGGTAACTACACTGCTCCTTAGCACAGAACAGCTTTCCAGTGAGGCCAGACACGCTCCCTCTCTGCTTGTGCTCGGCATACCACACATATCATAGACTGTCTTGAAGAGCACACAGCTGAAATAGTCACTGCTGCTAAAGCAGTAACTTGCTATGCAGTGTGGGCCAAATCCTGCACTTGGTTTTGCTCATGATCAGAGTTTGTCATTGATCCGGGGTATTGAATAATGTTTGTCTTTTAAAGGGAAGCTTTGAAGTGCGTACATATCAATTTACATCCATTAGAAGAGAGGGGTTTAAAAACCCCCTGACAAGCTGCACCTTGTGAGCGCATTGTCAGATCTGGTTTTGTGCCAAAGGGAGTTATAAAACCAGCCCAGCTTGTTAGGATTTGCAGCTGTTCCAAACATGGCCAAATGGTACAGAAATCGAATGGTCCAATTTTAGAAAAGCCCTGATGTGGGCAAGCCCATTATAGGAATTTTGCATTCTGAAGGGCTTCAGGGTTTGAGCCAATAGCTTTAGTTCCCTCATTGCACATTATAATGAATGATAGTCATGGGGGTAAAAGTAAGCTTTAAAAAAGACATCCCAGGAAGAGTTACAGCCTCCATAATGCCTCTCCACCCATGCATTGTTACTTATAGGCTACGTCTAGACTGGCATGATTTTGCGGAAACACTTTTAACAGAAAAGTTTTTCCGTTAAAAGTATTTCCGCAAAAGAGCGTCTAGATTGGCAAGGATGCTTTTGCGCAAATAGATTTTCATTGGAACCACACAATTTAGCAACCAGTCCTGACTTTTGCAATGTTTACTTATATGGCCCTGTACAGTATGGGTGCATCTAGACTAGCAGTGGCTCTTGCTGAATTTGATCAACTTTCGTTAACCGGGCTAAAGCAAGATGCACAAGTGAGAAGCCTACTATAGCTCAGCGATTGGGGTTGTTGTTTTTTTCACCTGGGATGAAGGAGAGCTTGGTTTTAATTCCGCCTTCTGCTTGGGGTAGAGCAGGCCTTTGAAGAGAGTACATCCCTCAAGTTGTCCTGTTGAAACTGTTCTCTGTTAGTTAATGGGGCCAAAAAGAAATGGTACTACCCTGCTGTAGCTTAGAGGTTAGTGGTCTGTGCTGGGATGCTGAAGACTCTGGATCTGTTCCCTTTTGAAGAGGGGGTGGCTTCCATCTTTTCTGTTGCTGCTACTTTAATTAACTATGAATGGGGCTAAAGGAAGGGCTACTACCCAGCAGCCTGCTGTAGCTCAGAGGTTAGTTATCTGTGCTGG